AGTGCTTTGTGTAGATTGAAGCCCAAGTCCAGCCACCACTAGGGGGCAGCATACAATGTTAATCATGCCTGTATTTTACCCAACACCACCATCCTGATCTAAAAACCACACTTCAGATTTTTCAAGATTTATTTATTTTCATATCCAACAGTTACAAAATGGAGAAGTAGCTACATTAGAACATTAATACTGTTACACTCAAGCACCGTGTGGACCCATTTGTTCCTGTTTCATAAACACGTCATGTAGAAAAATACTGGAAGAGAAAAAACAAAACAAACGTCAATAAAAAAGAACGTTGTAGCAGGCTGTCCTCTCTAAACATCACCAGCATTGTTCACCATCGTTCACCATCGTTCACATACTCAACAGTAACTGCAGAACTGGCTGTTTGGTTCCTTTTGGCGGCTCATTAAAAGCTCTTTAAAGTATTGCTCTGTAGACTCTTTGCTCCAGTCCAGCTGATACTCGTCACACGGAGACGGGCCTTTTTCTTAAATTTAGTTAAAAGGTGAATTAGAACAGATTGTACAGACTGCAGTATCAAAGCTGAAGTTCCACAGACCTCAGAGGTTGTGTGTCATCCTGTAGTCGCTGCCCAAATAAGGAACTTTGGGTCAAAGCTGTTTTTCTCTCTGGGAAAAAAAATCAACAGCATTTTCAGAAATTGCCACTATTGCATCCTGTGGTGACCAAATCTCGTGTTTTGTTCTGTGCAAGGCGCGAGATACAGGGGGTTCTGGGGGACCCTCTAATTAACCTCTTGGACCACTCTGAATGTCTCAAAATCAAAATTATGCAATGTCCCTTAAAATAAACTTATGACGACGTTATGCTGTCCGTTTGAGAAAAAACAGATATTCAAATAATGATTCAAATGCAAATGCAAAGAAGCTCATTGTTTATCTGCTTCACCCACAATCAACTTCTCTCTTTGGTGTTCTTAACTAACTAGAGCTGCAGCACTGCTCTGCCTCAGGGTGGCGCTGTAGCAGACTGGTTCACTCAGTGCATTATAGCTTAGCAACTGTAACTCTGCCCGGATTCCTCAGAGAATTTTTTTACACAGCAAAATATTTGTGTAGCTATATAACAAAACTATAGCGCTGAGACTAAACCGCAATGCTGCGTCTAAACCGTACTGCTGAGACTAAACCGTAGTGCTAAGTCTAAATTGTAGTGCTGAGACTAAACTGTAGTGCTAATACTAAACCATAGTGCTGAGACTAAACCGTAGTGTTAAGTCTAAATTGTAGTGCTGAGGCTAAACTGTAGTGCTGATACTAAACCATACTGCTGAGACTAAACCGTAGTGCTAAGTCTAAATTGTTGTCCTGAGACTAAACTGTAGTTCTGATACTAAACCATAGTGCTGAGACCAAACTGTCGTTCTGATAATAAGCCATAATGCTAAGACCAAACCACTGAGAATAAACTGTACTGATGAGACCAAACTATGGTGCTGATACTAAACTGTAGTGCTGAGACTAAAATGCTGAGACAAAACCATAGCACTGAGGTCAAACTGTGGTGCTGAGACTAAACCGTAATGCTCAGTGTAAGCCACAGTGCTGAGACTAAACCAGAGTGCTGAGATCAAACTGTCGTGCTGATAATAAACTGTAGTGCTGAGACTAAAATGCTGAGACTAAACAGTAGTGCTGTGACCAAACTGTGGTGCTGAAACTAAACCATTGTACTAAGACTAAACTGCTGAGACTAAACAGTAGTGCTGAGACCAAACTGTGAAGCTGAGACTTAACCGTAGTCTAAATAATAGTGCTGAGTCTACATCGTAGTGCTAAGACTAAACCATAGTGCTGAGACTAAACTGCAGTGCTAAGGCTAAACCAAGATGCTGAGACTAAACCGTATTGCTGGGACTGAACTGTAGTGCTGAGTGTAAGCTATAGTGCTGAGACTAAACCACACTGACTAAACTTCAAAGCTGAGACTAAACCGTAGTCTAAACCATAGTGCTGAGACTAAACCACAGTGCCAAGATTAAACTGCGAAGCTGATACTAAACCATAGTCTAAACCATTGTGCTGAGTCTAAACCATAGTGCTGAGACTAAACTTTAGTGCTGAGACTTAACCGTAGTGCTGAAACTAAACCGTGGTGCTGAGACTAAACAGTGTTGCTGAGTCTAAACCTGACTGGGAACTTCTGCCATAGAGGTCAAACACCACAGTGTAGCAGTAGCATATGATCATAAGATGTCCCTCATGATACGCTAATACACTTTCGTAATGACAGTTTTAATGGGAAACGTGAGATGTGAAAGGTTTGGTGTGAGACTGTCTGGCCTCAATGTGTGAGATGTATGTATTTGAGATATAAACATACGTAGGACAAATTGTATTGTGTTTGGAACTTGCTGGGTAACCACAGACTGCAATAGCACCAATTCTTGGAAATGCTATTTAATTTTCCCCATCGAGAAAACTGGCGTAGTGCCTCAGATGCCAATAGAGAACTACAAGCAACACGTCACCGAGGTCTTTTCCTGAGCCTAAATGCTCCAATATGTTATGCGTCATAATTCAGTGATGATGATGGTAGTTTACCAGCTACCCCAAAATGTAGACGTATTTGGAGTCTGAAGTTAGTTCCAGTCCTGAAACTAAAGAGGCCATCTTCACTGAACGTTTGGCTGATGGGCTACGTTTGGGGTCATTTTCAGCGAACTGCTCCATTAATGAAAAGATCTTATTCACAAAACCTTTAACCTTAAGAAGTGACAGAAATTCGGCATTCACCTCCAAATTTATTGATAAAAAAGCAATTCAGTTTGAAAAGAGCTATTTACAGAACTGTACAAAGCTGGAACATGAAGAAACATGATGGGCCTTCAGTGCTGAACCCTCAGACAGTAACATGACCTTCCTGAATGATTTCTGTGGTTGAATAAGAAAAAGAAAGCACAGCAATAGCGAGGAGACTGTAGGGGAAAATAGTGTCAAAGCCAGGTCAACATTAGAGCTGTGCAGTGCTGTTTGCCACTGGCGCCACCGTGTGGCCAGAATGAGCACCCAAAGTCTGTTAAAGGGACAGTCCAGCATTTCTCAAACTAATCTCTATCTGCTGTATCTGTAGCCTCCGCCTCTTTGTTTCTACATTCACTGTCCATTTTATCAGCTCCTCTGACCATATAGGAGAAATTTGTAGCTCTACAGTTACAGACTGCAGTCCAAGTGTTTCTCTGCACACTTTGTTACCCTGTTCTTCAATGGTCAGGACCCCTTAAAGGACACCCCACAGAGCAGGGTTTTTTTGGGCGATGGGTCATTCTCAGCACTGCAGTGACACTAACATGGTGGTGGTGTGTTATCGAGTGTTGCACTGGTGTGAGTGGATCAGACACAGCAGTGCTGCTGGAGTTTTTAAACACCTCAGTGTTGCTGCTGGACTGAGAACCAAAAACATCCAGCCAACAGCGTCCTGTGGGCAGCGTCCTGTGACCACTAATGAAGGACTAGAGAATGACCAACACAAACTGTGCAGCAGCAGATGAGGTATCGTCTCTGACTTTACATCTACAAGGTGAACCAACAAGGTAGGAGTGTCTAAGAGTGGACGGTGAGAGGACAGAGTTTAAATACTCCAGCAAATCTGACCGTATGGCAGAGATACAGCAGACAAAAAGTAAGCTGAAAAATGCCGAATTATTCCTTTAACTTTGACCCAGGGCATCTTGGGCATTTTGATGCCTAAGCTGCTGAAATGTTACTTAAATAAAGATTGTTATCTGAGAAAGAATGGACAAGATCAGATATGAAACACTTGCTACATCCTATAAATATTGTTATGCTTTTATATTTACTTTATTCTTTATTTGTTTATCTATTTTAGCCTTAAAATATTACATTGTTATAGCAGTTGATAACTCCTCTCTATATAAAGCTTATTTTGCTGCTTCAGAGCAAAACCTTGTATCTCCAGATTGGTAACTTCATAGGAGAAGGAAAAACTTACTTTACTTTTATTGTAAGTCAATGGAACCAGACTTTTTACTAAGCAATTTTAAGCCATTCCTTTTGGTCCATTCATCATGAAATTTACACACAACATTCAGAGCAACAGGCAAATTATGTCAAAAACTAAAAAATTGCAAATACAGAGATAGAAGGTTTTGTTCTGACAACAGTGATATGATTCTTTATATAAAATCTGGTTTTGCCTGTTCTGAGCTTAATCCAACTTACTTCTATCAGTACATAAAATGTCTTATAACTAAAAACATGCCTAATTGAACCTATATCAGCTCTCCTTTCCATAGATTTAAGTATAATAAGCATCCTACAGAGACAACTGTTGAAGAAAAATAGCTGATTTTGAGTGTTTTGCTGCTCCTGAGTGAGTGAGTGTTAAAAGCTGATTTCACAGTAAATTCATTCACCCAGTAATGACACACTCTATCGCTATGACAGGTACTATTTATTTTCATTTCCCTTTAAAATTCACTGCAGTTTCAGGTAGTTTTCCTTTTTTTTGTAAAAATATACCTATATCTCGTTTTATGTATTTTAGTTTTGGCATTAATTGTGTAGCAGCTGGACTTGTAACTGTATTATTAAAGAAAAGCCAACTATCTGTGGCCTCTTTGTTCTTATCATGCTTGTTTACTAGAAAGAATTACAATACTTTAACAATATTACACATTTTATCTCCACATACATTGATTTTGATCATTTTCACTTTTGTTTGTAAGCAATTTTATGAAAAGCTTGTTTCATTTTTAATTTTTAGTTTTCTTCCAGCTTTACTGTCCTTTATCAGCCCTGCTACACTTGAGGCTTTTTCACAGCTCAGTTTGAGAAGACGTTGAGGACGGAGTGGCAGTAAAAGGTCTAAACACTGATCCAAAAGATGAGGAGGAGCAAACATGAGGGAATAAATGAGACACAAACAAAACCGCAATAAAATCGTCAGCTGGTGGAAAAATGACAGTTAATAATATTGCTGTCATTGCTGTTCAGTCCAGTAGGGGGCAGCAGTGAGAGTGCATATCTAGACCTGTGTGGAGTAACCTCTGAGGGGGCGGTACTCAGGGCAGGAGCGGGCGGGGTATTCGGAGGGCTGGTCTAGACTGCGCTGGAAATGGTTCGACGTGAGTGGATCAGGACATCGGGAGGGGCGGGGGCTAGGAAGGGCTGATGGTCATGTGACCCCTGCGTAGAGAGAGACTGGAACCTACAGAGAGAGAGGAAGGGAGATTTATTATTATTAATAATGATGATTATTATTAATTCATTGTTAATTAGTGTCTCATACCCTAAACTGCCCTCAACATCTCTACACCTGCTTGTACCCCACCTTCTCACGCCATAGATCCCCCTTTCACTTTTTCTAATGCCATCTACTGCCTGCATCACCATTTACTGCCCTCTATTGCCTTCCAATGCCATCTTCTACCCTTTACTAGCCTCTGCTGCCATCTACTGCCCTCCACTGCCATCTGCCACCCTTATCACCCTTTACTGCCATATACTACCTTCTGCTGCAATCTACTACCCTCTACTGCCCTTTATTGTCTTACTGCCATCTACTGCCCTCATAACCATTTACTGCCCTTTACTACCTTCTACTGCCATGTACTATCCATTAGCATATCTGCCCCCTTATCACCCTTTACTGCCATCTACTGCCTTCCACTGCCATCTACTGCCCTTTACTAGCCTCTGCTGCCATGACTGCCTTCCACTGCCATCTACCACCCTGTATTGCCTTACTGCCATCTACTACCATTTACTACCTTCATTAACCTTTTCTGCCCCCTGCTGCCTTCTGCTGCCATCTACTACCATTTACTGTTCTCTACTGCCCTTTACTGGCCTCTGCTGCCATCTACTACCCTCCACTGCCATCTGCTGCCTCATCACCAATTACTGCCTTTAACTCTCTTTCGCTGCCAACTACACTTTACTAGCCTCTGCTGCCATAACTGCCTTCCGCTGCCATCTACTACCCTCTACTGCTCTCTGTCACCCTACTGCCATCTACTGCCCTCATCACTATTTACTACCATCTACTGCCATTTACTTCCTTTTACTAGCCTTTGCTGCCATAACTGCCTTCCATTGCCATCTGCTACCATTCATTGATATCTGCTGCCATCTACTACACTTAACTAGCCTCTGCTGCCATAACTGCCCTCTGCTGCCATCTACTGCCCTCATCACCCTTTACTGCCCTCTACTGCCTTCCCTGCCTTCTACTACACTTTACTAGCCTCAGCTGCAATAACAGCCCTCCGCTGCCATCTACTACCGTCTATTGCCCTACTGCCCTCATCACCCTTTACTGCTTTTTACTGCCTTCAGCTGTCATCTATTACCCTCTACTGTTTTCTATCGCCCTACTGCCATCTACTGCCCTCATCACTATTTACTACCCTCTACTGCCGTCCACTACTGCCATCTACTACCACCCACTGCCCTCTGTCCCCCTCAAAACTTTCTCTGCAAGATGCAATCATCTTAGGGCCCTGAAAAAAGCAGCAGTTCATGGCTTGATGTGGCTTTCAGATTTTCCCCACTTGTGTGTTGTGTTAGCATATCACTTGCAATGCTAAAACAACACTTATGTAGCTAGTTGTGCTAGCAGAATATGAGGTAGCTAGATAGCTAGCATAACATTTAGCTGAATGGTAAACATTGCTTAAGATAGTGTGTTACATCTGAATCATTCCAAGTTAATTTCAGGGTCTATCCCTTCGTTTGTGAGGGTAGTGTTTTGTTATCATGATTAAAATTTTATAATAGTTAATAATGAAGTTTATTAAGTAAATAATTTGGCTTAGCTATCTAATAGCTTCGGTTGCAAACAGACAGCCAACTGTAAACATATTTGTGTCATCCTCTACTATCCTTTACTGCCCTCCACATCTGCCCCTGCTGCACCACTGCCCTCTACTGGCCTCCACAACAACCCTGCTGAACTGTTACCCTCTACGCCCACCCCTTACCTGAGGGCCACTTAACTTTTCTAGTGGACTCTCCACACTGGGCATGGCCACCATGGGCATGCTGAGGGAGGGTTCAGGCCGGGGGGGTCGAATGGGCAGTGGCATTGGGGGCTGAGTCTGCTGGAAGTTATTAATAACACAAGTTACCTGCAGGAAGACAGAGAACACAGAGTCGAGTTACACAACAGGTCAAAAGACTGGACCCTCTTAACTAAATATTGTAATCTTATAAGATATTAAATATATCCTAAAGTTTATGCTTACACGCTGGAGATCTGTTTTCAGACAAATATGAACAGTGAAGGTGAGGCCTAAGTGTGATTCATTCCCAAAACAGAAATAACAAGTATTTTTTTCTGAGCCAACACAATGTGAGCATATGTGTCTGCTGGAAAGGTCCCAGGTGGCTGCTCATGAGGCTGTTTGACAGAATTCCCAGAGTGTGCAAAGCTGCATCAAGGCAAAGGGGGGAACTCTTTGAGGAATCCAAAATAATCTGATTAACTGTGTTTCCTTACCAGAAAGGCAGCAATAGCGCCCCCTGTAGCGTAACCGGCCAGCACATCAGACCAATGGTTTCGATACTCCGCTACACGGACCACACCCACCAGCAAAGCCAATGAGAGCAGAGTGAGGCACAGGGTGGGCTTCATGAGGCGTGTGCCTTTAGTCCTCCACGCTAAAGTGACGTACATCTTCAGGAAATGCACAGACACAAAGGGTTTGATGTTTAAGCAACATAAACCTCCCTCACAATAATGACAAGTTATAGTTGCCTGATTTCCTGCTGATAGTTACCCCATGATAGTTGACCCTTTCTCCTAAGAGTGACCCCTCATAACAGTTACCTTCCACGCTAGAGACTCTCTTTCCTCCTGATAGTTATCCTCCATGGTGGTACCCCCTGTCCTCTTGATATTTACCCCCTTTTCTCTTGTTATATTTATCATGATAATTACCCCCCATAGTGGTTAACCCCTTTCCTCCTGACAGTTACCCCCATGGTAGTTACCCCCCTTTCCTTTTGATAGTTACAACCATGGTAGTACCCTCTTTCTTCTTGATAGTTAGCCCTCACGGTAGTTACCTCGCTTTATCCTGAAAGCTACCCCCATGGTAGTTACCCCTATGGTAGCTACCCAATTTCCTTGTGACATGTACCATCCCAGGGTAGTTATGCCTTTCCTCCTAATAGTTACCCCTATGGTATTTACCCCTTTCTTCCTGACTGTTACCCCCATGGTATTTACTCTTTTTGTTACCCTCCATGACAATTATCCCCTATCCTCTTGGTATTTAACCTCCCAAGTTGTTCTCCCCTTTTCCTCCTGGTATTTACTCCCATTAATAGTTACCTCTCAAGATAGTTACCCGTTTCTCCTAGTAGTTCCCCCATGAGAGGCACTCCTTTTCCTACTAGCAGTTCACCCAATGACTGTCAACCCCTTTCCTTCTTATAGTTACCCCTATAGTAGTAACTCTTTCCTCCTGGTAGTTACTCCAATTACCTCCCATGGTAACTGCCCCTTTCCTGCTAATAGTTACCCCCAACTTTAGTAACCCCTCTTTTCTCTGGATTGTCGTCCCCATTATAGTTTCAGTAACTGTAATAGTGTATATTCATCTCGCCGTGTTTTCGCACCACTGTATAGATGGCGCAGTAGGTGCTGAGTGCAGCGTCTTTGGATGGGAAGGATTTTCGGGCAGAGGCGATGATGTAGGGGTTTCCTGTGCACGCCCGCCGCTCTGAGATGTACTGCAATGGGGAGTGGCAGCCCAGCGCCGTATAGTTCGGACGACATGCAGACAGGAAATGGGGTGCCTGGTTCCCTGTTACCACCTGCCCTGCGTTGGCAAAGATGGTGGTGGTGAAGAGACCGAAGGAGTACACCCCTGCAGGAATGACAGGAGAGAGGGGTTATACAACCATGAAGAAAGATTGAGAACAGGAGTCACAGGACCACAGGGTACAGCTTTATGGGCCGCAGGGTTTGCATGCTTTTACATAGAACTACAATCTTAAAAAAGATGATTCTTCAAAAGAACTAAAGACAATGGTTCTATATTGAACCATGGAAACTCAAAGAACCATTTGCATGCTTAAAAGAGTCTTTGCATGGTGAAATTGTTCTTCAGACCGATGGAGAATATGTTGTGTTTGGTTCTTTAAAGAATCTTTTAGAAAAGCGTTCTATGTAGCAAGAAAAAGTGTTCTTCTATTGTGATTATGTCAAGCTTGTAACAGTAGAAGAATCTTTTTTGATGCTATTTTCAAAAGGTTCTATATAGAACCATATGCAACACATTCTCCATCAACCTGAAGGACCATGTCACCATGCAAAGAACCTTTTCTGCATGCAACTGATTCTTTAAATGTTCATGGTTCTATTTGGAACCATTGTCATTACTAAAGAACCCTTGAAGAACCATCTTTTTTAAGAGTGTAGTTGATTAGTTTACTTGTGACAAGGACTGTCTGAACACACCTTTAGATGTGAATGGACCTGGCTCCTAGTACTAAAGTTTGTAGTTGGGTTCTCTTGGTCCAGACCAAAGCAGAAAATGATACATTGTTGAATTTTAGTTCTAGTTTGCTTCTTAGCATTCACACCAATGTATGTGACATCAGACCAAAAGATTTGGCAGATTTTATGATGCACACTTGGCCACAACTGAGATAATATCCAACAAACTGTCTGAATCATTATGTACTTTGGTCTAACTGAGCTTGTGGGTTTTATGCATGTCTTGTTTTATCTGCCTAGGTTCTTCTTCAATAAGCTACATCACACCATAGAAAAGAGACAACGGCTTATCGTATGTTGTTCCGTTTAGATGTCTTTGGTTTGTTTTGTATTTGGTTTGTTATATATTATAGTGGTGCAACCATCTAAGCGCTGGCTTAATCGTCAGGAGGTTGCGAGTTCAATCTCTGGTGATACCACAGCCATCTGTCGCCGGGAGTACAAAAGAACATAGTTGTCCTTGCTCTCTGGGTGGGTAGGATGCCCACCCCCATCTCCCCCATTACTCAGTGCAATGCTAGCCAGCGCAGGTGTCTGGTGATTAGTGCTCTTCTCTGAGCGTGTTCAGCTGTCCAGTGATGTTGTATTAGTGGCAGTTTGAAAAGATGCGGTGGAGCTTCACAGGATACAGAGGAAGCCTGTGTTTGCCTTCGCCCTCCTAGTGCTGGTGGTATTGTGTGACGGGGGAGCCCTGACTAGTGGGCGGATTTGGATATGACTAAATTGGGAAGAAAATTTGAAGTGGTCCTCCCCCGAGGAGGTCAGTTTTTGGTTTGCTTTTTCATTGCAGCAGGGTTCAAATGGCAGCGTTCTCACCGCACGAGCAGAACATCAGGCTTCTATTAGAACTAAACTACAGTCTCAGTACTATACTTTTTCTATACTATACTTTTTCTATGCTTTATAAATTACTGTAATTATTAATTATTAAAAGAATTTTCTTACCCAGAAAGCGTACAATGCGGCGCAGCAGAGGGTTAAAGTAGCAGCAATCCGCAGTTACAATGGTTTTCTCCTGCAAGGCCTCAGGCTTTGAGAAAAACAATGCCAACTCTCCGATCAGGATCTACAGCAGCGGGACGAACAGCAGGGTCAGAACACAACAGACGAAAACACAGTCAGTACATAACAGCCAAGAGGAACCCTGGAACCGTGGAACCATATTACCAAAACATCCTATTTTTTGTCTTAAGTTAAGATCTGACAGATCAAGATAAGATTTTTCACAAATTCGTATTACAGGAGCAAATCTGACCTTAATTTAGCATCTTATCTCCAGTTAGGAAATCTTAACCTATCAAGGTCAACAATCAGCTGTCTTATAATAAAAAAAGATTAAAACAAAAGTGTGATTAACTATAAGTTCTGAATATTGTGAGAGCGCCCCCTGCTGTTTATCAGAGAGTCAGCGAACTGGAAATGTGACCTGTTTTCATTTCAGAAATCTGCTCACCTTTCATTGAGTGTTCTCCACTGTACACTCTTAAAAAAAGATGGTTCTTCAATGGTTTTTTAGTAAAGAAAATGGTTCTATATAGAACAATGAACACTCAAGGGATATGCATGCTTAAATGGTTCTTCATATACAGCACATTCTCCACCAACCTGAAGAACCATTTCACCATTTCACCAACACATTTAAGCATGCACATGGCTTATGGTTCTATATAGAACCACTATCTTTACTAAAGAACCCTCTTTTTAAGTGTGTATGTTGGGTATGTACCCTAATGCAGTCCCTGTATCCACATTAGATGATCTTTCAGTAACAGAGAGAGACAGTGTTGGGATAAAGAACTTACGATGGTGCTCGAGAATGTGACAGAGAGAGAGCAGCTGTGGAGAAAAAACCTGAATAATTAAACAAAAAACTTTGACACATTTTCTCTCTGCCCGACGCTCTCTGCTTTTAAATCATTAAAACACACCACACGCAGCACGCAACACACACTGCTGCTCTCAAACACTCAAACTTTCACTCCAATGCACACACATACGCACACGACGTCAACTACGTCCGTTAGGAATGTTTTCTTGTACAGTGAAAAATCCTATGAATAAATTGTGTGCTGCTGTTTAAACATTGTACTTCTTTTTCAGTGAGTGGCTAAGTTAGCTAACTCTGTTAATTGGGTGGATCTAGAGAGTGGATTTAAAGGTGCCATAGAATGGAAAACTGCATCTACATTGGCATTGCTAAATAAGCAAAGTTTATATGAAGGTAGATTTAAGCCAAAATGTATTGTATTCATGCACTGTGATTTGAAGGTGTACATCATCAATGTAAAATGATTAAAGTGCAAATATAAAAAGTAAGTCATGTGAGTAATTCTGTGCATTTATTGCATTCAGTCTTATTTTCAGATGTGCAATTTTGCCTACATTTTGTACTTTTTACTCATTCAGATCAACTTGTACAAGTTGGCAGTTCAGTTTACATTTTTTTGCCATTTTGCCCCATTCACTTTCATTCAATGAGGATAAATACATTGAATTAAAATATATATATATATATATATATATATATATATATATATATATATATACATCAATCATGACAGCAATAGGAAGTAGCTGGGCTTCTGGCTCTGGTTCTGGTTTCTTCAAAAACCGCAAACAGTGAAGACAAGGTCTTTTATTGTGGAGAGTGTCAAGCAATCATGACCCAGAAGTAGCCATAGTTTCTAGCTTCACAAACCACTCTGTAATGTCCTCCAAACGCTAGAAGGCGCTCCTGAGTTCCTACTGCTGTTATATTTTTAAATGCTTTGAACTCAAGTTATAGAAGTTCAACATGGTGGCTTATGTATGTTCATGATGTCAGTGAGTGCAAACGGACAATGAACTGCTCCACTCACCAACCAATCAGCACTCACAGACAGTAATGCCAACCATTCAGCACTCAGTAGCAGTAATGCTAACCAATCAGCGCACAGTAGCAGTAATGCTAACCAATAAGCACTCAATAGCAGTAATGCTAACCAATCAGCACTCAATAGCAGTATTGCTAGCAAATCAGTGCTCAGCAGCAGGAATACTAACCAATCAGCACTCAAGCGCAGTAATGTTAACCAATTAGCGCAGAGTAGCAGTAATGCTAACCGCACAGCACTCAGTAGCAGTAATGCTAACCAATTAGCACACAGCAGTAGTAATGCTAACCGAACAGCACTCGGTAGCAGCAATGATAACCAATCAGCGCACAGTAGTAGTGATGCCTACTAATTAGGACTCAATCAGCAGCAATGTTAGCAATTAGCAGCAATGTTAGCATTCTACAGCTCCAAACCCGTTTGATGTTGAAAAAGGAAACATACAGGTAATTTTTCTTTGCCCTTTTACTGAAATACATCTTTCTACTTTCTAAAATTAAAGGCAAGTTCTGTATAAGTGATTAGAAACTATTTTAACTTTTTGTTTTTAGCCATTTAGCTCTATTCAGTGCCCTCTGGTGTTTTGCAGTAATGTTTTTCTAAATAACAAGGGAAATAGGAAGAGGCCAGGCTCCTCTTGAACCGGCTCTGGTACGATTACAATCATGGTTCATATCCTTGCCAAAAGTTCATAGGTCATCAAGGAGGCGGGTCAAGAAACTTTCAGTCATGGCTACAGAAGTGCTGTGTGTGATGCTGGCGGTTTAGTGTTATGAAAAGAAAAAGTAAAGAAAAAATGCGATTGTGGAGTCAATCCTGGGTTTCAGAAGAGGACAGTGTGGGCTATCTGTCCTTCAGAGAGAATTTAAGGCTCTAGGGTCAGCCCATAACAGACAACACCAGAGACTTAGCTAAGCCAGCTCATGGTCACTGTTATGACAAGAGGCTAAGTTGGATGGAGGAAGGCTTCAGGATCAAGCATATGCCTAAAATAACAAACAAACACAACTGAAGATGACAAAATTAACTAACCAGAAAAGAAAAGTAACAAAAATACAACAACCTAACCCAACTCTCTACAGACAACAGGAGATATAGGACAATCCAAACAAAAGGCACTCACTCCCTACTTTTCCCAAGTGTTCAAAATCTAGAAAAGGTTTCACAAATCTAACAAACGAAGCAAAATGGGGCAGAGTGGAGTAAAGAATGCTGGACTGGTCTGGACAGGTTGTCATGTCAGACGGCCGAGAGCCTTGAATGTCGCCTGAGATGGCTTGGCATCCTCTTATACATCAGTGCGCTCTCGTGTGGCCAATAAAACACAAAATGCCAGCACACAGCAGGAATATGACGACCGCGGGTTTTAACAACATATCAAGAACATTACACAATGTAGCTACCAAGTGGACATTTTTTAATACGGCCCCTTTAGTGGTTGAGTTTGACACCCCTGGCCTTTTGGTTAATGTTGAGGACAGGGTTTCTCAACTACTGGGTTAAGGACCATGAATGAGCCATGAAGCACCCCTTGGTGGTCCTTGGACCTATACTGAGGGGGATCAGTGGTCTGTAGTGGGCCTGTGATGGCACTTTGTCATAAAATTAGGGAAAAAATAAAACAATAAAAAAAAAGAAATATTAAATATTTTCAGACAGTTAACAACATTAATACAAGCCCCACAATAACAGTGGACAAAGGCAGCTCTGTCATTTTTTTGCTCTTCGCCTCTACAATCACCTGACCTTTCAATTGTCCACTCACACCAATATTCTGCTGATATTTCATGTTCACTGATACAGATCACATATTGTAAGAGTCGACCTAAAAATGACATTTTTAACCAAAAACGTTGGGTTTTGTTTTCTTGTGAGCCTCCATGCTGATAAACAGGTGGGCCCTGAGGTGGAAAAGGTCAAGAACCCATGTCATAGGAGACGTCAGACTAGGCTGAAAAAAATACAAAAAATTCCGACATGCTAGATTTTTCATCAAGTGTGTTCCACAGCGCTGTTCTTCGATTTTATTACACTGCAAGGCCCGTTCTTCATTCCTGACGCTCATATTTGGTCCTGACGCAGGAACTTTGTTGTGTAAAAATCGGGCTGAATGCGTCCAGTCCACTCCCAGCATTAGAGCTCCAAGGGGGTCAGGACCGGGACTGGAACCGACACCTAGCAGAGCAAGTGGTGTTGAAGGTGGAGCATGTTGACAGTGAGAATAATGGCTCTGAGCTGAGTAGCTGATGTTTAATTGATGGAGTGGTTCTGCTGATCTCTGCAGTGTGGAGGCGGAGAAGGTTTCTGCTGCAGCCAGGAACGCCGTCTGATCAAAAGAGCCGAAGTGGAGCACAAAGAGAATGAGATCCTGAACACCCTCTGCCTCAAAGCACGCATATGCACACGGGTCGGAGAAAAGCTGCCAGCGCAGCAGGAGGCTGAGCTCGAGATTTGGTGTTGGGCTGCAGAGCTGAATCGATGCAGAGCTCTGATGCTGAACTTGCCTTTATTTATTTTGGTGTTGATTTCATGTTGTCTACTCTGTGATCGTGCAGTGCCTATTCAATGCTGAGAGCAACTAAACTTAGATGAGTATTTAATAAAACAGACCCACCTTTACGTTTCTACTCATTTAGCAGACACTCTGGTCCAGAGCAGTGCAGACGAGAGCAGCACCTGGAGCTTTTATTCCTTTTATTTCATTAAATACACCATCAAATATCAGTTTGATACATCATCCAAACCTAAACACCTGTCTGCTGCTGATAATTAGATTTAAGTAATAATTGGCAGAGACTGACATAATACTGAGATTATTACTGTACATCCTCTAATCTACACACATTCACATGGTCCTCTCTCTAAACACCTCAGCCCTGAGGATCTGTTTAACCTCTATACTCTCTCTCTCTCCTCTCTCTCGCTTTTCCTCTTTCTCTTTTCTCTTCCCTTCTCTCCCCTCCTCTTTCTCTCTCCTCTTCTCTGTCTCTCATCTCCCTCTCTCCCTCTCTCTCTCTCTGTGAATAAACTGATTAGGGCTCAGTAAGTCCAGATTAAGCTCCAATTTTTTGTTCAAGACTCCTACACAGAGAGAGAGAGAGAGAGAGAGAGAGGGAGAGAGAGAGAGAGAGAGAGAGAGAGAGAGACAGAGAGAGAGAGAGAGAGACAGAGAGAGAGAGAGAGATGGATAAAG